AGCTACTGTGTGTGCAAACCTGGTAAAGACCTATAGTAAACGTTTGACCTCTGTTATTGCCAACAAAGGTTATGTTACAAAGTATTGAGTTGTATTTTTGTTATTGACCAAATACTTATTTTCCACCCTGATTTACGAATAAATTCTTTACAAATCCTACCATGTGGATTCATGGATTTTTTTTTTTCACATTCTGTCTCTCACAGTTGAAGTGTACCTCTGGTGCAAATTACTGACCTCTGTCATCATTTTAGGTGGGGGAACTTGCACAATCGGTGGCTGACTAAATACTTTTTTGCCCCACTGTAGCTGCGAGGGGCAGGAATCTGCAAAATGCCCCTTCTTTTCACCTACAATCTATCTTATTCTTCAATCAGGGTAGGACAGCTTGGCATGGCCCAACTGCATTGGCTATTCCTACCAGTCCACCTGCTCGTGTTCCACCTAGCGCCGGTCTGCAGACAGAGACCCTTTCCAGGGGCTCGAGCTTCTACCAGCCTGCCGAGGTCCACCAGTCCATTTTCCATACTCATGCATATGATCATCTGCCCTGACACACATAGCAATGAAAGCATCCAAAGATTTGGGCATTTCTTTTGTAGCCAACTCACATTTAAACTGTTCAGGAATGCTCCAGGGAGCGCTTTCTCCTCCCAACCCATCTCCTCACCCAAAACCCAGAAGTCCACTGAGAAATCTGCCATGCTTTTCCTGCAACCTTTATCATAAACCTTTATCAGAATTTAGCCAAAAGGTCATTATATCATCACTTATTATGATGGCGGCGCGTGAACAACGCGAGGCTCAGTGTCTCTCCAGAATCTGCTATTTAGCGGTTTTTTATCTACTTTTAACCGGATTATTCGTCCAGAATTGCTGTGCGTTGCTGACCTACAGCAGACAAGAGCTTCTGGACATCTGGACTCACAACTCCAACAGTTTTATCGCCGATCTCCGACTCATCCCAGAGATCTCCAGAACACCGGAGGCTGCCCACTCTCCCCGGCCGGGCGGAAGTGCACGCAGACGGCGCCGAGATCGTAAACAAAGGCGAGGTAGGCGCGGAGGGCTACGGGCTAAGCTAAAGCTAACACCACACCGGCTGCCTTTACCCAGTATTTTCTCGCCAATGTCCGTTCTCTGGCAAACAAAATGGATGAGATACGGCTCTCCATCACTAACAACAGACGGATTATGGACTCAAATGTCATGTTTTTCACCGAAACATGGTTGAACAACAGCTGCCCGGACAATGCTATCGAGTTAGCAGGACGCCACACACACCGAGCCGACAGGCTAGCAGATGACTCCGGCAAGACCAGAGGTGGAGGTTTGTGCATTTATATTAACAATGCTTGGTGCATGAACTCCACTACTACTGAGAGTCACTGCTCACCTAATGCGGAGTTTTTAATGGTCAAATGCAGACCTTATTATCTCCCCAGAGAACTCACTTCGATCATACTCACTGCCGTGTATATACCCCCCGACGCTAATGCTAGGTTGGCCATGAAAGAACTTTCTGCAGCCATTAACAAACACCAGAATAAACACCCCGAGGCTGCTTTTATTGTTGCTGGCGACTTCAACCACACCAACTTAAAGACAGTCCTCCCCAGATTCCACCAACATGTCTCCTGCCACACCAGAGGAGACAAGACTTTAGACCATGTGTATTCCAACCTGGCTGGAGCCTACAAAGCCACACCCCTCCCCCACATTGGACAATCGGACCATCTCTCCCTGTTCCTCACACCTAGGTATTCACCACTCATCCAACGTGTGAAACCTGCTGTGAGGACAATTAAAGTGTGGCCAGAGGGGACAGACGCAGTGCTCCAGGACAGATTTAAAAACACAGACTGGAATATGTTCACCCACACAGACCTGGACCAGTACGCCTCATCTGTACTGGATTACATCTCCGAAACCACAGACAGTGTCACCACCCAGAAACGGATCACCATGTACCCCAACCAGAAGCCTTGGATGAACCGGGATGTTCGTCTCCTCCTGAAGGCCCGCAACACCGCCTTTAGGTCAGGAGATGCACACGCCTACAGTACAGCCAGGGCTAATCTAAAGAAGGGCATCAAAAAAGCCAAACACCATTACAAAAAGAAGGTAGAAGAACACTTCTCCAACTCCAACCCCCGACGCATGTGGCAAGGACTCCAGACCATTACAGACTACAGGACCACCAAACCCTCCCCCGCATCCTCTGATGTCTCCTTCCTCAACGAGCTCAACAACTTTTATGCTCGTTTTGAGCGAGGGAACCCCACAACCACAACCAAAGCAGACGTGACGCCAGACCACCAACCTCTGACTCTCTCCCCCACCGATGTAGGAGCGGTGCTGAGCAGGATCAATGTCCACAAGGCTGCAGGTCCCTGATGGCATCCCCGGGCGTGTTCTCAGAGCGTGTTCTGGGGAGCTTGCAGGAGTGCTCACAGACATATTCAATCTGTCCTTGGCCCACGCTGTGGTACCGGCCTGCTTCAAATCCACCTCCATCGTCCCGATACCCAAAAACTCCAACCCATCTTGCCTCAATGACTACCGCCCAGTAGCACTCACCCCCATCATCACTAAGTGCTTAGAGCAGCTGGTCCTAGCACACTTCAAATCCTGTCTCCCCCCACCCTGGACCCCCACCAATTCGCATACCGCCAGAACAGGAGCACAGAGGATGCAGTCTCCATCGCACTGCACTCTGTCCTCTCACACCTGGACAACAACAACACCTACGCCAGAATGCTGTTTATAGACTTCAGTTCAGCATTCAATACAATCCACCCCTCACAACTCATCAGGAAACTGACAGACCTGGGCATCAGTTCCCTCATCTGCAAATGGTTACTGGACTTCCTGACCAACCGCCCCCAACATGTCCGGCTGGATAACCGCTGCTCATCTACAATCACAATGAACACCGGTGTACCACAAGGCTGTGTGATGAGCCCTTTCCTCTACTCCCTCTTCACCCACGACTGCAGACCTGCTGATGGTTCCAACACCATCATTAAGTTTGCAGATGACACCACGGTGATTGGCCTCATCAGTGACAACGATGAGGCCGCCTACAGGGAGGAGGTGGATCGTCTGGCTGAGTGGTGCGACACAAACAACCTGCTGCTTAACACCGAGAAGACCAAGGAGCTCATCGTGGACTACAGGAGGAATGCTGACCCACATCCACCCATCCACATTAAGGGGACGGCTGTGGAGCGTGTGAGCAGCTTCAAGTTCCTGGGAGTCCACATCTCCGAGGATCTCACCTGGACGACCAACTGCTCCAAGCTGGTCAAGAAGGCTCACCAGCGCCTCTTCTTCTTGAGGACTCTGAGGAAGAACCACCTGTCCTCAGACATCCTGGTGAACTTCTATCGCTGCACCATCGAGAGCATCCTGACCAACTGTATAACAGTCTGGTACGGGAACTGCTCTGCCTCGGACCGGAAGGCGTTGCAGAGGGTCGTGAAAACTGCCCAGCGCATCGCCGGAGCACCACTTCCTGCCATAAAAGACATCTACAGGAAGCGGTGTCTGAAAAGGGCTGGGAAAATCATCAAAGACCCCAGTCACCCATCACATGGACTCTTCACCCTCCTGCCCTCTGGGAGGCGCTACAGGAGCCTCCGGACTAAGACCACCAGGTACCGGAACAGCTTCTTCCCCACAGCTGTCAGACTCCTGAACTCTGCCTCCTGACATCTGACCCACGTTAAACTCATGGACTGAACATACAACACACACACCACAACACAATCACGACCCAACACACAATAACTGACTGACCACACACACACACACACCCCACACACACACCACAACACACACACACAATGGACAACTGTACCCTCAAACACACAATAATAACATGGACTGAACCACCACTCACAACCACTAGCACTTTATATAGCCTCTGTAGAAATTATCCACACCCTCACTTATCTTAACTGCACTACTGTATAGCTCTGTGTAAATAATCATTCTGTACATTCGATAATTTTAATCCTACAACTGTTTCACTTGCATAGTTCCCATTTCTGTATAGCTGTATATCTCAGATTTCTGTAAAGTTATTTATTTCATATTCTGTATAGTTTTTCATATTTATATCCTGTTCATATCCTGTACATAGCTTGTACTCACTACAGCCTGTACATACTATAGTTATAGAATATTCACAACATACTTCATACCGTGTACATTATAACATACCATAATAGACCCATTTCTGTAATATACTTACATATCTATATTATTGCTAATATATATTGTAATATATCTATATCACTAAAGCACTTCTGGATGGATGCAAACTGCATTTCGTTGCCCTGTACCTGTGCATGTGCAATGACAATAAAGTTGAATTCTAATTCTAATTCTAATATGAGATCTCTGGGTGAGTCCTTGGTACTGCTTGTGCTCATTTCAGCGCTCGCCCCGTCACCAGTTCCACCACAAATGAAACCTTGGCACAGTCTGAAGCATAGGCTTGACTCTGCTGTCTGAAAAGCACATTGCATGAGAAAACCTGCACTTTTATCCAATTCTGTCAATATTTTTTCCGACACCAGCAGCGGATGCTCCCAAGGAAAGGGTGAAGGGGAGGTAGAGGACAGGCAGCAGGAAGGCAGAGAGGGTGGAACATTTTCTGCCATGGTGAGGTTGAAACATACATTTCAGTTTGGTAACAACCTGGAGGAGCACATTCTGTTCCTTTGAGATATGCTGCAGCATTTTCTTATGGCGATCCAAAAAATCTGCCTGAAGTGACAGCTCTCGCTGAACAGGGCTAGAGTCCACTGGGTCCTTTGCTGGCTGGATCATTCAGTCAGGTCTGTGGTAAGAAGCGAACCCAAACGCAGCACTCTTCCAACACAAAGTTTTCACTAGCGAACTGGGGATGTACTGACGAGTAAACTCAACGATCCAGCTTCAAATGAAGCTCTGTCACACAGTTAAAATAGGGAGGCTGCTGACGATGACAATCAGCTCCAGCTGGCGAGGGCTGATGAGCAGCAAGTGTGGCCGACTTCAGCCTGGGAATACTTCCCGGTCAAATGACACTTGAAACTGGACTTCCGGAAACACACACATCAAAACACAGAAACACACAAAGAGGGAAATAGAGAACCGGAAAGGGAGCCGAGACAAAACAAAGCACATGGACACAACGGGCAGGTCGACCGGCGAGGACATTTTAATTCACTTTCACTTTTAATTCACATGCCTTTCATTCTATCTCACCGGTTCTGAACATGCATTCACCTCTAGTTTTGTCTAGCCAACAATATCACAACCCAGGGCCTGACCGGTCGGGTACGGAAATGTTGATGATGTGCATGTTTGATTTGGCAAAAACTCAAACAGGGGCATCTGGGCTTGTGGCTGGCATTAGGACTACACTGGTTTATGGCCATCCCCCTACCTGGGTTCAATTACATCACATCTTGACTTTTTGATTTAAAATCCACTGTGGGGTTGTGTGGAGGCAAAATTACAGTCTTTCTCCAGCAAATTCTGGATATGACTCTAAGACATTGATTTTTAAAATAAAGGTACTGTTATGGCAATAGCTTAAGAAAATGCACTTGAAGACATTAAAAATCCTCTTTTTTAACATTATATAGAGGACACGGCAGTATGAAACATATACAAAAACCCACACACCTACAGTCGATTTAGAATCACCAATTAACATAACGACATACATGAACCGCCAATCCCCACACAGAAAGGCCCAGGCTGCATTCAAACCCTGGAGCTTATAGTATGAGGCACCAGTGCCACCACACCACCATGCTATCTGAAAGCAAATGCCAAATGTCTAGCAAGTGATAGTTTAATCTTTGATGTTTGTTTTTTTTAAAGGATCAGTGCATAGGATTTATAGGCATTTAGCCATAAGTTTACAAATTCAAACTCACTAAATATACCTTTCACTTTCCAAAACGCAAATGCCTAGGGGAGCCAGCGTAACAGAAGAAGACCCATCCAGGTCATCGTACTATAAGGAGCTTGGAAAGAAAAGCGTCTGGACTTCTTTAGGTTGCTTGAAAAGACGTTTCACCTCTCATCCGAGAAGCTTCTTCAGTTCTAGGGTCAAATGGTGGGGAGTCCCAGATTTAAGCACCGTGGGAGTGTCTCCTCAAGAGGGACAATGGATACCCTATGATTCTCTACCTAAGCATACGAGCCGAGGTGTGAAAACAGGTGTGGGTCACAATCAGCCACGGTTTCGGGTGAGCTCATTGTGAAACCTGGCCCCACCCTATCATGTGATTTCCTGAGGTCAGATGGCCCAGGGTGTGAGTGGGCGTTAAGGCGTCTGGGAAGGGATCTCAAAATTGGATTATAGATGGCAGACAGTTGGTGTCGTAAGCCACCGCCTCTGTTCAAAGATGGTCGCTCACAGAGGACATACAATGGCTTCTTTCACTCCTTTTTCAAACCATCTGTCTTCTCTGTCCAATATGTGAACATTGGCATCCTCGAAAGAGTGACCTTTGACCTTTAGATGCAGATGGACCACCAAGTCTTGTCCTGTGGAGGTGGCTCTTCTGTGTTTTCTTTTGGATGAACCAGTTTTGGATGAACCTGAGTTTTTCCGATACACCGGCTACATAGAGGATGTCACTAAGGAAGGAGGCACGTTGTACAAAATGCTCAGGGTAGAAATGCAACATATAAGACCCAGTCCATTTAGCTAACAAAAACATGGCAGTTTGTAGGTGATTGTAAAGAAAAGATGAGATAATTATTTATATTACCCTTCAGTTTTGGCACTGGGCCCCCCCTGTAGCCTGAACAATGGTCCTTTATATAGAAAGTCAGTAATAATATCTTGAAATATCAGAGTTACATTTTCAAGTACCTCTCACTTTGTCTTTTTCATATCTGACTTTTTGTCATCTGAGTACAATGTGTCAGCTTGCAGCTCAAAGTCTAGGATTTTTCCCATGGTTAGCCCACAAGCGGTATTACAGCTTATGTCCTATATCATAGAGGGCTTTATATTTTATTTTGGTATCTCTATCCTGTTCTCAGTTGAAGTGTTCTCCGTTTTCATTTAGTTTGAAACAAATTAATAAGGGGTATAACATTTTCCTCCTAGAATACTCTAGAACTTGAAATTTGTTTAAAATTTACCCTATCAAGCCATATTCTGTAATCGCCCCACAGCCCTGTTCAGAGGGCTTTTTTGCTACAGCTGCTTCAAATCTCTTCAAAAAGCCAGATGCAATTTTCACTCATACGATGTTTTATCTTCCAATGAATATGCAACAGGGCAATTATAGACAATTATGCTAACAATAGCAACAAAGGCAGCAAACACACACACATTCATTGTGTATGTGTGTTTGCAGATCTTCCAGAAGTAACCCCCTCGCAGCAACATCCCACAGCTCTCACAGCCGCATATGCTCTGGATTTGTTTGGTTAAATGATCAAAGCAAATGGCAATTGTATAAGGTAAAGGTTGTTGTCTTCCCTTTCTTTGCCAAACTTGCAACTTACATTTAAGATTTTAGGTTTTTGCATCATCAGAGGAATAAAAGTTGAAATGAGCCCATACTGAAGGCTTTGTTTTTCATCAATCTTTGTAAACTAGTAAAAGATTACTCTTAGAGATATAAAATCTCTTTCCTCTCAAGAGGACTCTCCATTTATATGAACAAACTGGAGTCTATTAGATAGATATGATACAAACTACTGCAGCGCAGTACCTGTAATACCTACAGCATGTTCTAATCGCTCTAATAGGATATTATGGTCAACAGTATTGAACGCTGCACTGAGGTCTAGCAGGACAAGCACAGAGATGAATTTAAATTTAGGGGTTTTCAGAATCAGATTCTTCTAATTATAAAGCTACTAAAGATTCAGACACAAAGCCTACCTCATTTCTGCAGATTAATTTTCTTATTTTGTGTTTTTCCTGTTGCACATTTCTAACTTTTCTTTTATTTCATTAGAAAATGTACAAATTAAAATGACACAAGATACAATAAAACCTGACTGCATAAACAGTTTCTAATGGAGAATTTATTTTGAAACTGTTCTGGTGTATAATTTGTTTCCAATGACAGGCAAGGAAGGCTGGTCCATTGGTCCAATCAGGTTTGAAGGGGGATTTAAACACCAGCAATCCTTCACTGTATAACCTGGTATAGTCATAGCTACCTCTTGCACCAACCTTTTCGTAGCTCTCAGCTTCAACATGTTTATGCTGGCGGAGCTGTTTGGCAACTGACTTTGGCAGCATTTGGTGAAGCAGATCTTCAGCCAGCTGCCTCTGGTGCTTAAGGTCTTGTGTTTTCTCCTTCAGACTGTGGGCATAGTTCTGTATCCACTCTGTCATCTGTTTGAAAGAGAACATCACCACAGGGTAGATAAGACATGCCATGGCCAGCAGGCATATCCTCATACTGAGGCCTGAAGAGATGGATCGAGAGCCCGCCCTGAGAGCCAACACTGCACGATCAAATAAACACTGCTGAGTGTTTGTCAGAGCTTGAATTCCAGTGTGAGACCCAGACAGACGTTCCATACTTGTGCCAGAGATCTGCCATTGACTTGTGTCAAAAATATAGGAATGCTGAACATCCAGCGTAGTGTTTATCTTGTGGTCTATGTTTTCTAGCCAACAGTCATTCAGTTTCTCTGTCAAAACCCTGGCAAAGCTGAGGTAGCTCAGAATGTATGACCATCTAAACTGGAAGCCAGTAGGAGTTTGCATGTGGCCAAAGTCTCTCAACTGGTGGTTGAGCTCAATAAATGTGACCAACAGTCTTGCAGACAGTACATCTCTCCAATTAGAATTCTGTTTGGCCTTTACCAAAGTATCTTCTACTGTACACCAGACGTCAAGAAGTCTTTCAATAGCCAGTGAGAAAGCAAGAATTCCACTTTCACTGGTAATGTTTGTATCCTGTGAAGTATTTAAAAATCCTTGAATGCTCCTCACTAGCTCTTTGCAAAAGCTAGGAAACTCAGTACTGCAAGGAATCCCGATGTCATTACTTCGACCCACCAGTTTGTCACAGTGATTATCAAAGATGAGAAAAAGCATCTTAGGAAAACTTGCCTCAGCTGTCTCATTCCCTACTCTTTTGGAAAATAAATGTCTCGTCTTTTGAAGTTTACTGACAAGTTGCAGGAGAGTTAGAGTCTTGCATGAAGTCAGCTCGCTGTAAGCTGCTTCTGTAGTGTACAGCAAGTCAAAGTTGGAGTTGACGTCGATGAATACAGATCCGAGCAGGGCCATGAAAGAGAGGAGGCAGGCTGTCAGAATCCGACGAACAGTCTGGTTGCTGCCTGAATGGGAAAATATGGAACATCTGCAAAAGAAGAATACAGTTTGTTTAATGTGCTTCAGACTAACTACCCAATGCTAAGTACTGTCTAAATGCTAATTACAGGCACTGTTTTTGTTCCTTTTAGACAAATACCGGTTTCTAGACTCTGTATTTTTAAGCTTTAATGTTATTGCGTCCACTATGCTGGCACACATGCGAATTAGTGCTAAGTGACACATTAAAAAAAACAAGAATTGAACCACACAGCTCATAGCAGGCCATGTTATTTGTCAGGTGAATATGCAAGTGCATATTATTTGCATTACAAATATTCCAAAGGACATCACTACCAGACGTTTAACTGGGTTTTAGTCCTTTTTTTTTTTTTTTAAATGTATTTTGCTGGGACTGTTGCAACACATCATACAACATGTTGTTGTTGGGTATTTTTAATATTAGTGGGAATAATCTCACTATATGTTATTGTACAGATACATTCTTTATTACTGTTATATTTAGTGGTAGAATCGTTACAAAACAATAGATCCTATTATGTGCTATTGTCAAATATTATTATTATTATTTCTCAAGGACTGATATAGGGACACAATTCTTGCCTCAAATCATTTGACTCTGTGGTGAGATGGCTGCTTTTACTTCTGTCAGGCGTATGTCTTATGGATCTTGAATTATTTATAATGTTAAAACAAAGTCCTAAAAACACCTCCCTATTTAAGTGAGGGAGGACAGGAATAGATTAATTAACAGAATGTAGAATCTGAGAAATTAGAAAAATTCTAGTGAAAAGTGAAGATTTGCCTTCTTCCTGTGTACTCTTTGGTCTGGACCCATTTGAGTGCCCAGTATAGTCCTATTATAACTTGATCATGGATTTTCAGAGAAAAGCAGGGGAATGATCTGAAAAGCTTGTGTTCAGGTCATTCACCTGACTTTTCTTTTTGTTGTCACTAAATAAGATGCAAACTTATCCAAATAGTCATTATTATGAAGACAACATAAACATGCCCTAACTGCAGTCTGTCAAGTAATCAGTCAGCAGAATCTACAGCAAATGTGGAAAATGTATTTATTTATTTAATTTTAAAAGAACCATATATTCCAAATGTCTGCCTGTCGGTGTGTCCTAACTTTCTGTCTCACCTGCACAGCTGACACTCGCTGCCCGCATCGTGTTGCCTCCCCGGAGCGACTCTGCTGTTCTTTATGAACCTTCTTTTGAGAGAAGCTGAGGACAGCGTCCCAGATGCTAAACACTGTTTTTTCATCAAGTCCAAGGACGTCATGAGACTTGTGCTGGAGCTGCTGTTATTTGATTCACCGCAGATGATAGAAGCTGATAGAAGTCAGCGCAAGTCAACAGTATTGTCCACTTAATTTGTGGCCTTAAAAAATTTAAATACTGATAAAAATGAATGTATTCATTCAAATAAAACGCATTTAATCCAAAACACACATTAGGTTAGTTTTTACCGTAAAAGCTGTTTCTGCCTTTCGTAGCTCTGTGATCGCCGGCCTGTGCGGGATGTAGTACGCAGCCTCTCTCCCGAGCGGCGGGGCACGACTAAAGCTGCATGTCTCTTCGATGGCACAGGCTCCAGCGGTTTTATTATGAAAGTGATCTCGGTGGACAGGAAGTCGTGGTTTTCCTGCCAACTATTTGATGTTTTATTGGTAATAATTATTCAAATTTGATTTAATAACATGGCCATGGTTAACCTGGCACAAGTCGTTCGATCTATTTCTAAAATATAATGTTTGGGATACAGAATCATATTTTCTATGAAACTGTAAATCTCTGCAGCAGGTCACAGTTATTCATGCTGCGTAAATTCCCCTAATGTTAATCAGCCTGAAAATATCTGGCTGATTACAGCCAGATATTTTACATCTGGAAGCTGAACTGAACCGTGTCCACAGGCTGATCTGCACGTCCCACTCTGCACGGTCTCGGATTAACTCTAATTAAATGCTATACTCATATAATCCCGTTCACCCTTTTGTTCCTTTAGAATCGTATGCCATTCACTCTTGTTGTTGTTTGTCTTGTCTTTCTATTCTCCTCTTTTTTCTGTCTTTTCCTCAGCCAACCAGTGGGACTGATGGCTGTTGCTGTGGGGCGATATAAACAAAACGGACTAAACTGACTGAAACGTTTCATTGGTCCAATAAGTTCACTACCCAGACTTTTGTGTTTTGCAGTGGTTTCACTGCATTTTATACATTTAAAAATATATATATATATTTGTCATCTCACTCGAAAACATTTATTTCGATTAGATGTAAAGAAAGAAGCTCATGTTTTCCGAAGAGATATATGGAAATTTGAGTTTAGATTCAGGAATCGAAGCGCACATATTTGCACAGCTCTTTTTCCTCTTGGTTGTGGCTTTTAATTTTGAAAGCGCTTGCCGGAAGTGCTTTATGTAACTTTATTTGGCTTGAGAAATGAACACACTCCAAGTGTATAGTATTGTGTGCAGAAAGAAGGAGAATGGTGAAACATAGTGCGGTTATGGTAGGGTCGCTAACTTTCCGCGTCCTCGTGTAACGCGGTGGGCCCGCTGCCCGGTAAAGATTCCCGGGTCGGACTCCTTGTCGTTTTCACGGAGGGAGTGTAATCAGTATATGAAAGCGTTGTTTGGAGCCGTTGAACAAAGAGCTTTTCTTCCCTCTACTATTGTTACGGACTGGGACGGCTGGTATCCCTCCGATCCAGAGGCGGTCTCGAACCGTAAAAGTAAGTAAACTCATCTTTAATGTCTTTTTTTAAGGAGAAGAAAAGGTGCGTTTGAATGCGCTACTTTTATCCATTACGCAACCAGCAGGTCCAAGTGTCCGCCTGGCTAAACTGATTTGATTCAAAGCTAGCTGTAAGTTTACGCAACACTGCATATATATATATATATATGTATATGTATATGTATATATAATAGTATTTACAGGTATATTTGGTTCACACGGGTCTTTCGCTTAAATGTAATGTGTGCGGTTTAAATTTGAGCCAAACTCCTTGTTTTGTTTTCGTTAGCGAGTTTGGAAAACTAACACTCTGCGTTCTTACCGTTCAAAGTCACACAACCTATAGTGTTAATGTTATCCAGATCACATGCATATATATGGCAGCGTGATTCCACGGTTCTTTCTTTCATTTTTTTTTTTTTTGGTGCTTATTAAATCGTGGGTTTCAACCCCACGTTAGCCTAACTGAGGTCCCCCTTTGTAAGAGTGACTCACGCCATTCTTAAATCTGGAAATTCAGATTCAGTTAAGGCACATATATACGCTCAAATCGGACCGGGACACAGTGGATCCTGTCTTTATATCAGCATGAGTTAAAACTCAGATTAGTGCAAGAAGTTGGCAAAAGAACCAAAGTTTACATGACTGAAAAAACAGCTGCTGTAAGGGATTCAGGATCCAAAAGTGTTGCTGAAAGATTAAAATTAACACTTTTCATAATCAGTGTTATATCAAGGCGGTGAGCTTTGCCAGAGACACTGAGTAACATTTAATTGTCTCTTCCAAATAATGTGAGACTTCGTCCACATGGCGAGCACTTGTTGAGTTTGTCATGTTGCTCCTGTTGACAGGTGAGGGGTGCCCTGTGCTCCAGTCATGACCTCTGGGAATGGGAACACTAACAGCACCCAAAACAATGGAGAGAGTAAACCTGCCCAGGCCATAGTCAAGTCTCACATCCTCACCCATCTCATAGAAGGCTTCGTTATCCAAGAGGGTGCAGAGCCTTTCCCTGTGAGTACCGGAGCTATGTATGTTTCTGTTAATGCAAATGTTTGTTGAGTGCATGAATACACAGCCTGAAAGTGACAACAGAAGATTAGATTTGATATATCTGACAGAATATAATGTTTTGTGTTGTGTTTGTCAGCTGTTCCTCTCAGACTTCAGGTTTCTAACAGTCTGAGTCCTAATCCTCAGAACCCTTTGCACAGTGTTTGGCTCTTTCTATCAAAAGACTTCTTATAGAAAAACAATATTGATTTTCTTTCATCCTCGTCTCTTTTCACCATTTTCAAGGAGAAACACTTGCGTGAAACTTCACCTTACACCGAATTATTTTTTGTTTGCAGGCCTGAGTGCTCCTCATCCTCCCTCTTTGGGATTTTTGAGCCACTACTTGAAATTTTCTTGGCAGAACTGACTTCATGTTTCTATATAGATTATAGTGCATTATGACATTATAATAATTGGCCTCACTTAGTAAATCTGTCCAATAATGTATAAAAAAATAAAAGCATCTTATTTTCTTATATTTACGTGCTGTGTACCTGCTCTACGCCTCACTGGTTAGGATTTCCATGACTGCAGTAAAATTCTTCATCCATCATTTATCCCAGCTGCCCTGAAGAAAAAACTAATTCATGATGATCCCAAAGACTGCAGTTACTAATGATCACTGATGACCTTAAACACATTTTTATAATTTAACATAGTCCATAATCTTGAGCTTGTGTAGCGTTCTGCGCTCTTCATGCAGAAACAACTCAACAAGAAGCAGTTTATATTCCAGAGTTGTGGTGTTCACAGTTCAGCTGTGGTTAAAAACTTAAGAATGATCAGGAGGTAGGGATGCAACGATACCAATTTTTGCAAACCGATACGATACCGATACTTGGATCCGAGTACTTGCTAGGGCTGCTCGATTATGGCAAAAATGATAATCACGATTATTTTCACTGAAATTGAGATCTCGATTATTTGACGATATTTATTTAACCCTTTAAGACCTACGAATGACTGGGCAGCGCGATGACTTTTGGACCTCGGTGTAACAGCATCAAGTTAGAAGTTAGAATCAAACTTATGGGAGAGGGTAGCCCTCAAACACGTAATGAGAACGACCAACAGCTGAAACCATCTTTGGGTAAAACTTGTCTGAGAAAATGTGTTTTTGTTTAGTTTTACCACAGTCCCATCTGCTTTATGGCCTGTGCTGCAGCTAGACACCAGGGGGCAGTAGAGATGGCTCCAGGTGTTTTCTACATTCATTGGTCTGAATGAGTAATGTCACATTAACAAGATGAGGATTGTGCATTACTGTTTTGGAGAATTGTGTGTGTGTGTGTGTGTGTGTGTGTGTGTGTGTGTGTGTGTGTGTGTGTGTGTGTGTGTGGCGCACGTGCACACACTGTAATTTGATCCCTACATCACATCAAATTACAGTGAGGTAATTTAATGTGATGTAGGCACAGTAAAAATGCTAAAATTTTATCAGCATTTCAAAAACCAAACATGAGCACACTGTGCATGTGTGTGCAACAGTTCAAGGCCTTAACTTTGTACAAAGTCTGTTTGGGCTGAGCAAGTGAAGTAAGGTTCAGTGACTGAGGGGAAAATGCTGAAATTTGTGCTCTTTGAGCACTTTGCCTGGGCTGAGCCACCTGACTGCTCAGTGGTAGCCTGTATCACCATGTTCAGTTTCATGCTCCTCCAAAAGTACAACAAACTGCATGTAAATCAGTGCCTTTGTTACAACATCACAGCATGGTTAAATCTGGGACTCTCCACCATTTGACCTTAGAACTGAAGAAGCTTCTCGGATGAGAGGTGAAACGTCTTCAAGAACTTAAAGAAGTCCAGACGCTTTTCTTTGCAAGCTCCTTGACTACGATGACCTGGATGACTGAGAACCTTCACAGACATCACTAATGTTTGGTTTCTTAGTACAGGGCTCTAAGTACAACGTCCTCTGGTGTATAACACAATGCAAAAATACCAGTTAAAATTCTGGGTTTGATTCAGTCACTTTAACACCTCCTCAGAGGCTTGATATTTTTCCCAACCATAAAAAACTACTCAAAAAACACTAAAGATAAAAAGCCTGAAATTTTCACTGTTTTTTGTTTGGTTTCTTACCATATAAATTGTTAATTAGTATAAGCAATGTGAGCGACACAGAGAAACCATGAAGGTCCTGGGTTCGAATCAGCTATCTGGGGCCTTTCTGTGGGGAGTTTACATGTTCTCCCCTTGTCTGCGTGGGGTTCCCTGCAGGTACTCTGGTACTCGTTCTTCCTCCCACAATCCAGAGACATGTAGTTGGTGGGATTAGGTTAAAGTGATGATTCTAAATTGCCCATAGGTATGAATGTAAGTGCAAACTAATGTCTGTCTCTCTGTGTTAACCTGCAACATGACCTGTGTAGGCGGCACCCTGTGTTTTGCCACATGGAAGCTGGGATAGGCTGAATAGGAGAAAATATTTTTGTTTTGTTTTATTTATTTTTTGCCAACACAAATAAAATCTTACTCTCACAGCAACTTTAATAAGTGCTTTTATTTATTTAGATTACTTCCTTCTTCTGTTGCTCTAAGCAGATTTCTGTAATTCTATAATTCAAACCAACGACATGTTTGTTAAACCGTTTCCTAACAAGACCGTTGGAAGAAGCCTCAGCATTAATATGCTGTTTATCTTTATTAAAAGACTATGTATAACAGGCTTTTAAGTCATGTTTTTAACCACAGTCTTCTTAAAAAGCTTTTGTTTTTGCTAATTATAGAATTATTCCTAAATAGTTCTAGGATGACGTCAGTTCTGCCTCCATTACCCACCAGCTGATCGCTGTAAGATTTAAGAGAGACACAAGGCCTTTTATTTCCCACTAGGACAAGAGTGATTATAGGTCATACTATTAAGAAAGTTTCATTCATGTACATGCTTATGAATGATTTCATCCAACAGTATTTAATAAGCATGAGTGCACTGATATGTTTTTGTGTCTGCAGGTGGAACGTCCATCTTTCTCAATAGAGAATCTAAGAAGATATACACCAGATTCAAAGATGGACAGCCTGTCAACAAAGGGTTTGTCAAATTTAAACGTTTCTCTTTCTCAGAATATGGGTTTGGTTTGGGCACGCTTGTCCCTGTAAATCAGTCCAAAGCTGTACTGAGTGGTTGTCTTTATTCCTCAGATTCCTTGTAGACTTTCAAAATCAGTGCCCAGGACTATGAAGCTGTTTTTGTGGCTCTTGGTGGCCCGACACTTTACTAAGACAAGCTATAAAATTAATTTATAACTTTTTAGAAATGCATTTCTCTGGATTTTTATAGTTATTGTTCTGTCTCTCACTGTTCAAATCAACTCAAATTGTAGACTAGAGGTAGATTTCTTTATTTAGTGGGCAAACTTACAAAACCAGCTGGTGTTCAAATAATTTTTTCCCTGACTGTAGATTGTACCAACATCAATTTGTGTCCCACTGTTTTCCAACTGTCAGTAGGGTTTTGGATGGCCCTTTGTAATAAATGTATAAATGAAAATCATTACTGTGCCTCAGCATATTTGACCCGTCCAACACTTCTTCCCCAGCTGGGTTTGTGACAAAGATTTGATTGACTGCAGAGCTTCAGAATACACAGTAAACTGTAGTCAGCCAGTGTCCGGCAGTCTCGCCTCTGTCAGTGTGCCCCAGGGCAGCTGTGGCTACAATGTATCCCATCACACCTTCATCCTTGCTCAGTTATATGCAAGATTGAGGAGATTTCCAGCATTTCTTTTCTGAGGGTGCATGTAGAGGTAGAAGGTGTAGGACAGCATCATGTTGAAGATGCTTAAAAGCATAAGAGCAAGCAGGGACGCTTGTTTTGCATCACTTTTGAATGGGCTCTGAACAGGAACATTTTACAGAATGATGCCATATGCATTTTCATGGAAGGACGGTATCATCAAAAGCTCCCTAAGTTGGAACAGTTTGTTAATTTAATTTCATATCGTACAAGTGAAACCAAGTCCAGTCTGATCTGTCACTACCACAGGGATTGGTCGAAGGGTTTTGAAAGTAGCAAAGTGACCTCAGCTGCACATATAAACGTGTTTTGGCTGCTCAGTGAGACTAAAAAAGTGCCATTAAATTTCATTCAGCATTTATTTTGTGTAAGAAAGCAGTCAGGAATACTGGGCATAAAGGGAGTTGTGTAGAACTCTAGAGTTGTGTTAGCCCCTTGTTTTGGTTAACAGCTTTGGTGTTGGTGCTGCTGGATGCAGTTCTTTTTACTGGATGTTCAACAGTTTCAGCGTGATGATCACAAAGATTGTGTTGACTGTTCCCTCAGAGGTAAAGGGCCAGCAGGAGCCCATGCTGACCTGTGAATTATGCGGCAGGGTGGATTTTGCCTACATCTTCAAAAGATCTAAGAGGTTCTGTTCTACGGTGTGCGCTAAACGGTAAGATCATTGTCTTCATTTTCACAGTTCACTGTGGTTCACTGCCTTAATATTGTCTTCGAGCTGATACATCATTAGTCGACATTTAGGAGAATATGACTGAGGAAGCTACTTGAGTGTTTGGTCCAGACTTTGCCTGTGACCTCAGTGTCACATGTTTCTCTCCTGTGTGCAGTGACTTGCTGTGTGCTATAGTTCCAGCTATTTTAAAATATTTTAGGGTCTTTACCTTAGAATATAAAGCACCTTGAGGTGACTACTGTTGTGAACTGGCGCTATAGAAATAAAATGGAACTGAATACAAAGAACACTTCTACTGAGAATGACAAAGGAATAACTTAATTCACAACACACCAGACGTAAACATCTAGTTCAGATTTGTGAATGATGCACAGATTTTGAACTTGCCTTGTTTGCTATCCTTGTAGTTACAATGTGGGATGCACAAAGCGAATGGGTCTGTTCCCGAACCGCAAAACCACCCTGGAGAACATGAAGAAGCAAAAAGCTGTGAATGGAAACCACAAAAACACCATCATAGACTCTAAAAAGAAGGTGAGACAGTCAGGACTATTTACCCTAATGAAGTGAAGGATAACCGAGAGTGGTTTGCAAAGATGGTGGTGGTTGGTGCTTTGAACCCCGGCTGCTCCAGTCTGCATGTGGCTAACATTGTAAAGTTAGTAAGATGCTGAACCCAAGTTACTCCCAGTGCATCCATCAGACTGTAAATGTTACATAGAAGTGCAGAGTGTGTGTGGGTTTGCTGTGTCTCTCAGTACGGTCTCAACAGCATAGAGGAGGTTTCAGTACTCTAGCAGAGCTGAACACGGCCATAGAAGCTCTTTAAGCTGTCAGCAGGACTGGTATCTGCTCCTTTGTGTAAGAAGGAACAGGATAAGCACTGCCCAAACCAGAGAGTGGATATCTCTGACCAAACAATCAGAAACGAGCTTTATCAGGATGGCCTGAGGGCACGAGTCCTTCAGTGGCCTTGTGCTTCCTGCAGTTTCTGAAGGATGAAGAACTGAAATGTTTGAAGGTTGCCATGTTGCCACCATCCTGGAGGTCCAGACTGGCTCTTAGTCCATATTCTTGTGCCTTCCCAGTGTCATCAGCATGGACCCTACCACTAACAAGGGTGTTCAAAACACCAACAACCAAAATATAAATAAACACGAGGCTAAGAAGAATTCTGGATTCTGCTGTAAAAAAAATGGGTACCAAGCTTTTTGAATATGATATATAATATATGTATATATATATATGTATTTATAAATATATAAACATAATATATATATATATATATATATATATATATATTAGGGGTGCAACGATATTCGTATCGATATTGAACCGTTCGATACAGTGCTTTCGGTTCGGTACGCATATGTATCGAACAATACAACATTTGTAATTTATTTTATCAACTTTCCTTCTGACGATGCTGTCTGTGTTGAGCGCTCAGTGAATCTGTGTTCGACTACTCCGCCTAGGCTGCACTGTCGAGCGCAGATCCACTGAGCGCTCAACACAGACAGCATAGACAGAAGGAAGAGCGCAGGGCACCTCCCCCACCCTCATTCAGATCTGGCGTTTGGAATTATTTTGGTTTTCATGTGACGTATGACCCTGAAGGTAAGCGAGTCATGGACTAAAGTAAAACAGTATGTTGGATGTGCCATGCAATGCTCAATTACATGGGTGGGAACTAGTGTGTTAGCGCAGTTAGCTCGTTAACGTGTTGGCCGTCTAGCCCCATGCACGGGGCGATCGGCGGTAGCTCGTTAACGGAGATTTGCCGTGTTGTGGCGTTAAGGTCATTTCAACGAGATTAACCTGAAAGCACTAGTGGGAACACAACGAATATGACTGCACATTTACGCCGACATCATCCTAGTGCAAAGACAAGTGGAAGCAGACAAAAACAACAAGCACGCATGCTACAAACTTTACCCGAGTCATTTAGACAGCTGTTAGCACATGATTCTCCTTATGGGGACCTGATATGTTTAATATGCTGCTGAGAATATAGCCCAGAAGAAGCGATAGTATAGCTTTTATTTTGGAAAGAGACATTTCTCTGTAATAAACTCTCTTTTCCAAAGATGAGTGATTCCTCAATCAGATACAGGGCTGCAATATCGCTAGCCCGACGTCCCGGGGCTAGCGATTTTTTCAGTCGGGCTACCAAAATCTATCTCTTCCCTGCCCGTCGGGCTATTGTAGGAAGGAAAAATATATGTCAATGCTTTTGCATTCTTTCAGAAATGTAGCTGGGTAATTATGTCATTGGCATCGGTGAGCCACTGTCAATATGTGACATATTGAAATCGCGTTTGAATTTGCGCTTGTTTTTTTGCTTTCACTTTGCAATCGTGCGAACTGTGTATAGAGAGCGACAGCACTGATCTGTGAGTGATGATAATTTGTGCACCAATTCCTCTGACATCGTCTTATTAATCGTTAGCTTACTATGCAAACATGACAAGTGAAATCTCCCGCAGCAAGCTTAAACATGTGAGAGGTTGATCGCGCAGAGAATCGCTGAGCTTATGTGAGTGCGTGTGTAAAAGCATTTCAGTTCTGCTGAGCCAAATAAGACAGGTCAGGGTGAAGAAGTGACAGCCAAAGAAAAGCTTACCACAAAACGGAGAAGTTATGACAAATCAGACTATAAGGCAAAAAGAAAGTGCAGCTTTATGGTTTCATGGACAAAAGAATTTCTGTGGCTGCATATGAGAGCTAAATAACCAGGGCTGCACATAAGTGGTCCGCAGGTGCGCATTCGCTGTCAAAATAAAAAACACGCACAAGGGTTAGGGTTAAATTTAAAAACTGTACTTTTGAGTTAAAATATATATTTATAATTTTAATAAATGACAAATTAAAAAGGCATGAACATTTTTTTTGTATCGAAAAAATATCGAACCGTGACACCAAAGTATCGAACCGAACTGAATTTTGTGTATCGTTGCACCCCTAATAAAATAAATAGTATGTATAGTATGTATGTATGTATGTATGTATGTATGTATGTATGTATGTATGTATGTATGTATGTATCACGTATACGTATACATATATACATATACGTGTGGAGTTTGCATGTTTGCATGTTCTCCCCGTGTTTGCGTGGGTTCCCTCCGGGTACTCCGGCTTCCTCCCACCGTCCAAAGACATGCAGTTTGTGGGGATAGGTTAATTGGATAATCCAAATTGCCACTAGGTGTGAATGTGAGTGCGAATGGTTGTCTGTCCTTGTGTGTTAGCCCTGCGACAGACTGGTGACCTGTCCAGGGTGTACCCCGCCTCTCGCCCTATGACAGCTGGGATTGGCTCCAGCGCCCCCCGCGACCCTGAAAAGGATAAGCGGAAGCGAATGATGTATGTATGTATGTATGTATGTATGTCCTTTCTCTTTTTCTTTTTTTTCTTTTTTTTTAAATCAGACTGATGTATTACACCTATAAATGAGAGAAAAACCTCAATATAGTCCCATTTTTCTCTTGGACTCTCTCAGACTGCTCCCTGTGTTCAGAGGCCTGCTGCTGCTCTGCCTACTGCTCACTCAGTCCACCCTGCACAGGAGGATTCAAATCAGTGTTCAGATTTGTCCCTCTACAAAAGACCCCCGTCCCCCGTGTCAGTTCCCCAGCGCCTGCCTGTGACACAAGGCTCTGAGCTGCCACTGCTGCACCATGGCTTCCTGCCCAGTGATCCGGGGCAGTGGAACATAGGGGACGTTTACGAGTTCATCTCGTCTCTGCCAGGTGGGTGATCAATCTGGTAACGCCTGCGTTCATCTCCAGCTGTGAATTTTTCTTTCTTTACAGTGCAGAATAGAGTCAAGTGTGCACAACTCTACAGAGGCTCTTCTCATTTATTCATAATTTGTTTCTATGGAGACAGACAAACTTGTAATAACTTAAACTGAACATTAATCTACAAATCGTTAAAGGCACTTAACTCAATCGATGACAACTAAAAATCTCAACCAGTCTAAATCTCAGTGACCTGAAGTTTTGTGAAAATCTTGTGAATTTTCTAACCCTGAGAGGAAGCCACTTAGGGGTTTCAAACTGATACCATCGGTGTATCTACTATCTGCTCTCAGACAAGTTCCAGTGTCAGTCATCTTGGACTCAGCGTCAGAATCAGAATACTTCCTCAGGGATTACCGTAATAAAGTTTTCTGATTCTGTTTCAGAGGTGAGAAGTTGCGTTTTCTAAAAATCTTGTGAATGCAGTAACTGGACATGACGTAGGATAGGTCCATCTCCTAAATATCTTGGCTGTAGCTCAGGTGGCAGAGCAGGTCAGCCACTAATCAGAAGGTCGGTGGTTCGATCCCAGGCTGCCTCCTGGCTGCATGCAAATATCCTTGGGCAAGATACTAACCCCATGTTTGCCTACTGGTGGTGGTCAGAGGGCCCGGTGGCGCCAGTGTCCGGCAGCCTCGCCTCTGTCAGTGCGCCCCAGGGCAGCTGTGGCTACAATGTAGCTTGCCATCAC